CATAAAGAACGGGAAACTAGAGACATTTATAGCTAAATGGATGCACATTGAGGCCATACTCTTAAGTGAAATAAATAGGACACACATGTGTAAATACCCAATAGTTTCTCTGGTGTGAGAAACTGAAAGTGTAAATAAGGATTAAAATGATGAAAATGAATAACTGATAATTTGAAATAGGAAGAAAAGGCCCAAAGGTGTAGGGGTGGTAGGAGGGGAAGGGGAAAGGAAAGAAGGGAAAGGAAAAATTATGAGAAAAGAAAAAAAGAATGGAAACGAAGTCTATGTAAATAGGGAAGGTCGGAGGAGGTAAAGGGCACACAGGTAATGGGGAAAAAATAAGAACCAAAGTACATCATGTACAAGTACAAGCACCCAATGATAAATGTAAATGTATTATATACCTAAAACATACCAATAAAAGAATTTAAGAAAAAAAATAAAAAAAGTTGAACAGAGAGAGCTGGATAGGGTCAAGCCCATGTCTCTTTAGCCTGCTTTTTAAGTATATCATAGAAAATCAAAGTTAAAAAAAAAGATAAAATAAAAAAAAAGAAAAAGTTTATCCCAAAGAGGGTTCTCATCTTCTCAACTGTTCCCAATTATATATCCATCACCCACAGAGCTGTGTAGGCATTGTTCAATGTTCCTTGCTATGTTCCAGATGCCATACATGGCCAATGAGTCCAAAGAGGAAGTCTGACAAGGTAGCTTCACCTACAGCCTTCTCTCTTCCTGATAAAAGGAGATATACCTGGAACTACTACCCCTGCCTTATTCCCACTTTAAAGAGAGAACTTGTATTTAAAATGTATCTAAAATATTTTTAAATAAAAAAACGGCTCCATCTATTTTATAACATCTGAATATGAAAGCCAACACACTAACAATGGCAGAGGAGACAAAGAATTTATGTCTCAGGTGATACTGCTGAGGTCTCTGAACATATACAGTACCAGCAACTCAGCAGCTGGCTGGCTTGCTTTCTTCCTTAAAGGTCTTACTGTGTAGTTCAGGCTGGTCTTGAACTCACTATGTAGCCCAGGCTGGCCTCAAACTCACGGAGATCCTCTGGCCTCTGCCGCCAAGTGCTGGGATTATAGGCATGCCCCTCCATGCCCAGCATGGTTTCTTTTATGTGAGAATTTATCCCTGTTTGTTTAGCCTCTGCTAGTTTTGTCACTTAGAACCAAGTGCATTTCTAGGTGAGATCTAAAACACTAAATGCATACTAGAGACTCTGCCTTCAAGGAGCTGGAGGTCTACTCAGACAAGGAAACAAATCTATGTGACTCACAGAAGTTACTAGAATTCTAAAAGAACAGATAAGAAACAACTAACTTTAGGGAGGTGAAGGGCATCTTCAGAGTTTGAGATATATATAATGTATGTTGAAGATTATGTAGGAATAACCAAGTAAGGAAAGACAAGGATACTTCAAAGGGCTGAGAGTAGCATATGCAAAATCTAAATACTGTACTGGGAAGGAGTTTGCAAGACAGTATTCTATTTAAGCTCAGCTCACCCACCTGATACTCAAAAATGACAGGAAGTCATTAAGGAAACAATAAAGTGTATCTCTATATGTATCCCTATGCCCATCTATCTATCTGTAAAATTTGCAGTGCTAGGGATCAAACTAAGAGGCTCATGTATGTTAGGCAAGCATTCTACCACTGAGTTATACTACCAGACTCAAATTATACTTAATGTACTTGTTTTAAGAAGGTTAGTAATATATAAACTTCTAAATAATTTGTCTAAAATAGTAACAAAACCTAACAAATTTGGCACTTGAATGACAAGACTGGATCAGATGGAATATAATTTGTTAGACTATTTGATATTTAAGTTCCCAATTAATGATAGCATTTTTTTGGATTAAAAATGAAACACTGGCTAAGGTCAAGTATGCATATATTAATAAGCAGACATCCTCAGCTCATGTGAAGGAGGGGAAAATCAACAGTTTTATTTACGAATGGGGAAATCCAGGATAGGGGTGGGAGGGTCCAGAAAGGGAGGCTCTTAAACAAGGGCAGTAGCCTTTGAGCCACTGCCCCTCTAGATAACACTGGGTGTTCAACCCACCTCCTCAATTTATTAGCCATTATTTGCCATTAAGTAGTCTCAGAAAAAACACCAGCAGTCTTTTTTCTGTGAAGGGCTAGAAAATTCTCTGTTTCTTTAAACCTGGAATTACTGCAATTTGGATTTGGACTCATCTGCTTCTTGAGCTTTGCTCACAGCAACCTACAGTTCTCTGAATTAAAAAAAAAATCAGCATGTAAAGGTCAATTCATTTGACAGATACTCAAGTGTCTACAATACTGACTAGAAAGGTGCTATACAAGGGGTTCGAAGTAATTCGGACTCCCAGCTATTTATTAGTGATAACCTTGGGCAAATTATGCAACGTTTCTACACCTCAGTATCTCGATGTGTCACACAAGGGTCCAGCACTTAATCTGTAGGACTGCTATAAGGATGAAATCAGGCCATGCATCTTAAAACCTGGGGTATCAGAGGGTTACCCTCTGCCTTCACCTATAAAGAGAATTTAAGCAGCCAAAGTAGAAACCTTTATTTAAAACTACCCATATTTGTGAATTTGAGTATAAAAATATTACAATTAAAGGATCTGTCAATTAGTTTTTGCTGCAGATTATAATCAGTATTTGGTTTTTAGAAAAAACTCTTGCAAGCCAGAATCCATCAAAATTGAGCCATTTCTGATTTGAATTTGATTCTACAATAAATTACAATAGAAGGGCAACTGTGCCAAGCATACAATGCATAGAAGATGTTAAAGTATTGCTAAACATATCTACCTACCAAAGATAATAAGCTCTTGAGTAAAAAATCACTTTTCAACTATTTATTAAAAAATAATTTCAGCAGGCCTGGGGATTTAGCTCAGTGGTTCCACTGCCTGCCTTGCAAGCGCAAGGACCTGAGTTTGATCCTTGGTACCAAAAAAAAAAAAAAAAAATTTCAGGGCTGGGGATTTAGCTCAGTGGCGCTGCGCCTGCCTTGACAGTGCAAGGTCCTGAGTTCGATCCCCGGTAACAAAAAAAAATTTCAAGTTTACACAAAAGTTGCAAGAACAGTACACCCTGTATCTAGATGCCCTAATTGTTACCATATTGTCCCATTTGCTTTATGACCCTCTCTCTAAATTCAGAGGTGTTTATTCCCCTGGACTATTATTTGAGAGTAAGTGAAATACAGAATATCACATTCCTCTATCCCTAAACACAGTACTTATATTTCTTATGAATGTGGACATATTTTCTATAAAACCAGCAGGGTTATAAACAGGAAACTTAACAGTGAAATTTTAATCTGTGGTTCATAGTCCAATTGGCCTTTATAGCACCCCCCATCCAGATCAGAATACCATACTGCATTTAGTTGTCATGGGTCAATAATTAACATCTGATACACTATTATTTACAGAATGAGTTACTCAAAATAGATTAGAAAACTAAATTTATGCTACAAAAATGCAGTTGGTTTAAGTTCTGTTCTGGCATATGTGGTGTTTTTCCTTTCCACAAAAAAATTACGTTGGTAGTGCTATTACTACAGTTGTAATGAATTTACCAAAACTATCTTCAAACTTCAAAGGAAGTGTTGAAGAACCAGCAAAACTTAACCTCATTAAAAATGAAGGCAATGACGGTTCTGCCACCTGTCTCGAAAGCACAAGGTCTAGAGTTCGATCCCTAATATCAAACCAAACCAAACAACCAAACAAAAAAACAAAAAACGAAGGCAATGAATACCAGCTGCAACCAAACTGCTGGGCCACATTTTATGTGCCTTTAACACGACTTCAGGACTTAGGACAGGTTAGGAGAGACACAATGGACAGTGTCACTGTCTCACCCAGTCCCTGATCTTTTGGGGATTAGCAGGACTGGGGGGGTGGGGGTGGTAAAAGGGAAATTTTCACTTTTTACTCTATGAATTCCTGTACTGTCTGAATTACTTTATAAGGGGCACACATTTCTTATTGACAATAAAAGAAGGCCCCTTCCCCCAAGAAATAAGAAAGGAAAACTCGATGGCGGGGCTGGATCGTTGATGTGCTGGTTTACAACCTGTACACCCAAGTACTTCTGTTTGTATTTTGGTTTCTTCCCATGAGAGATGACGGTGACCGACCCCTACAGGGGGCGAGGAGAGTCGGAAAGCTTAAGCAGACACTCCACTACTCCAGGGAAATAGCCCTGACACTGTTTCTAGGGAAGCGAACCCGGCCAGCGGTCCTACGCTGACTGTCCGCCCGGAACCCAGACCCCGCGCAGAAGTTTCCGGGACCCGGAGCGTCCGCGGAGCCCAGAACCCCACAGGCAGCCTGGGGCTGGGAGCAGAAGGCGGGGAACCAGGGTCCCGCGGACCCGACGCCGCCGCACCGGTCCCTTACCGAGCGCTGGGCACGTCCACCGGCCCGAGGCCGCCGCCGCCGCCGCCGGGCCCGGCCAGCGCGTCCGCGCCGTATTTCTCCTCCATCCCGGGCTCAGGAACCGCCGCCGTTGCCCCGGCCGCGCGGTCGCCTCATGTCGCACGCTGCCGCGGAGCCGCGAACACAGGCATGTCACTCCCCCATGGCAGTGCCCCGTCGGGTCCCCCAGGGCCAGCCTCCGCCACCACTGTCCCCGGCCCCTGCTCACAACTACACGCACGTCGGGACTAGGCCGTGCGCAGCTCCGGGGGCACCGGCTCTCGGGAGGCCTCAGCGGTAGGGACGACTCCAGGCCACGTCATCCGGCGCAGCAGCCCTCACTTCCCGGGGGAGTGCCTGGCCCTGCGCCTGCGCACAGCGCAGCACGCGTTACCCGCGCCTTTCTAGGCTCCTCCCACCGGGCTGACGGCTCGAATCCCCGCCCCCTGCCAGCCTCTCCTGTAGATGCCGTGAGTGCCCTTACCAGTTTGTGCAGCGCTGTCTGGGGGTCATTATGGGTATAGCGGATTCCTGGCACCTCGAGGGGCGGGGACAGGTAAAGAAAATGTACCACGGGTGATAGAGTTGGGATTCATAATCTAGGGTATTTAACACACTTGCCTCCTTGAAATTTGTGTGAAAATGGGTCAACATTTTCCTGATGAGAAGGCTCAAAGTTTTCAGAAGTGTGTTTGATCTCCAATGAGATAACTATTTTTGAATCTGTAGAGATTGCTAAAACAAATAATGGACTGGGACGATTTGTCCAATTGGAAAAATGGTGAGAAAATGGCTACTTTTATGGTTTGTATTTGGGAGCTGGAATACTGGTAGTGATGGCTAGACACAGGCCATGGAATTGCTAAAGTGTGTGAGGAGAGGATATAAAAAGAAGAGGATTTGGTTAAGTGTTGCAATAAACTGTCTTATCCCTTTTTTGCAAAGTATAGAATTTCTTTAAATTTATAGAATTTCTAGCTGGACATGGTGGCACACTCCTGTAATCCCAGCACTCTAGAGGCTGAAGGCAGGAGGATTTCTGTGAGTTTGAGGTCAACCTGGGCTCCATAGTGAGTTCAAGTCTAGCCTGGACTACATAGTGAGACCCTGTAGAGGCTGAGGCAGGAGAACTGCAGGTTAGAGCCCAGTCTGGGGAACTTAGTGAGATTCTGTCTTAAAATAAAAAAATGAAAAAAGGGCTGAGGATGTAGCTCAATGTGAAGGCCCTGGGTTCAGTCCCTAGTTCCATACACACACATACCTGTATGTGAAACTGTGTTATGTAATTCAGCACATCTGTAAACCCAGGCTTTATAAGGGCTATTTTTCTGTTACTAGAAAGTTTGGGGCCCAGTGTGGTGGCACACACCTGTAATCCCAGCACTTGGGAGGCTGAGGCAGGAGGATTGGTGTGAGTTTGAGGTCAGCTTGGGTTACATGAATCTGCCAAAAAAAATGTATGCACACTTCAGGAAAAGAAAAACTTGTATAAATACTTTAATACTAAATTTATTGAGACTCCATGAGATTAATACAAGTGACCTTTGGTCTCTGCAATTACAAGAGGTGCTCAAAGTAGTGGCTATTAGCTTCCAGACATTTATTAGTACTACAAACTGTTGCTTGAGTAACCGTGGTCACTGAGATTGCTGCACATGCATTTTCAATTTCTTCTCTAAGGGCCGGCAGTGTAGTGGGTTTTCTGCAATATATGACATCCTCTAGGGTCCCCCATATGAGGGTAACACCATCTGTTGAAAAAACATCATACTATTTTTCTTTTCCCGAAGTGTGTATACATTTTTTTGGATGACTCTATGTATCATATGGTTGCTGCAAGGAGGATTATGTGTTAATATGTTAAAAGTATCTAGAAAAATACATGGTATATAATATTACTCAATAATTTTTTTTTGTACCGGGGATCGAACTTGGGACCTTGCGATTGCAGGGCAGGTGCTGGAACCACTGAGCTAAATCCTCAGCCCAGTAAATGTTAATAATTATGACTCATTGGGAAATTTGGGGATAGGGATTTAGAGATGAAAATGAGGTTTGGAACAGTATAAATTATAACTAGCCTATAGTATTCTGCTTAATTTGAATACACACAGAGAAGCTTAGTGACATATGGAAGAGTCTGCCTGCTGGGACTTTATAATCTATTGTGGAAAATATTTAGCAATTTAAGAGCGAGGCCCATTTGGCAATATTACACATTAAAGGGACATACATTAAGGGTTCCCAGCTGAGGTGGGATAGCAAGAAAGGACTCACAGGTAAACACAACCTGATTTGGATATGAGAAAGGAATTGGGCGAAAACATAGTGATGAGGAGAACACAAAGTAAAGCAGGACCTTGCACCCATGCTCCTGGCTAGCAAATAAGAGAGCAAAGATACAATATTTTTACCAGCTTTGTTGGGGTTTTTAAACTCAAGGTGTTTCATAGTATTATGTTTATTGAATTTGCATAAAAATGTCCATGTTTTTCGCCTGCACTTGGTGATAATTCATAGGCTGAGTAGGATGGGCCAGGTGAGACCCAACCAAGAGTTGAGTCAATCTTGCTTGCTTCATTTTCTCCACGAGACATTTTTATAACTTCTTTTTGGAAGGGTAGCAATATTTTTATAAATTGCTATTATTCAAATCAGAATGGCAGTGGTAGGTCTATTGTGTTTTTTTAGGGGCTACTTGCATTCTTTTGGAGCTCAGGGAACTAGATAAAATGACATGCATAAATTGAGATTAACATGGGGAGAGGAGGGAGCTTGAGGGGGGGGAATGGGATAAAAAAATAAATTGAAATTAACTTTCATTCCAAGCAGAGCTCAAATTCAGTTGGTATTTCTTTCTTAATTTTATGAAAAAAGACTTTCATAACCAAATAAAAAAGAGAATAGCAAAAAAAAAAATAGAATAGCAATAGTTACTGTGTATCATTATCTTCAAAGTAGTTGCTCAGTACAAGACATAAAACCGAGAAACTTCTTATGAAAAAGCGACAAACATTAACACAAACTTCCTGGCTTGGTTAGAATTACATTTTTCTTTTAGGCCAGTGCACATACATTGTTTATATATATATTTTTCCTGATGGAAGAAGTGTCTCTATTTTTCTTTCTTCCTGCTCACTGCTCAACCCGTTCAAATCTGGTTTCCTTATTCATCACTCCTCTGAGTAGCTCTCACCGACCTTTTCTCAGACTTACGGTCTCTGTCTCTGTCTGTCTGTTTTTCTGTTTTTTCTTGCAAGATCTTACTGAGTTGCTCAGGATGACTTCATACTCTTGATCTTCCTACCTCAGCTGCCCCCAAGCCCCAATAGTGGGGACTATAGCTGGGACTTTAGGGTGCACTACCACGCCCAGCTGCCCTGCCCTGGCTTCTAGAATCCCATGTTTGCTTGTTTTAAAGGAAGCTCAATTTTTGTGTCCAAATACAAACAGGATTTTTTCCCCAAAACTGATCCTCTTTTGGCAACTTTTATCCAGTTTAGCAAACTTTAAAACTTAATTCTATCCTCTTAGTTCCCCTTATGATCTGTGTGGAGTGGATTGATCACCAAGTTGCATCATTTTTTACCTTCTGAATGTTTCTTGAATCACCCCTGAATTTTCTATGTATGTCGCCATTGTTTAACCTGGATTGCCTGCAGCTTTTGCTTAGACAGCTATAGTAATCTCCGCCCTTTCAGGCTCACTGTTTTTCTTTTGCAGTGTTTTCCGTGTTCTGCCACGGTGATTGTTTTCCAACTTCAAATCTTATAATGTACTTTCACCTCCACCCCCACCTTCCTGTGGCTTTCCATTCCCTTAAGATAAACTCCAATTATAAACATGGTCAAAAACATCCTGTATGGGCTTAACCCAATTTACTCTTTTGTCTTTATCTCATATCAAGCTGCTCCTGCTTTTGGGGATCCAGTCCCCCTTTTTCCTTCCTCAATTGTGCTATTTTGTCTTCCAACACCAGATATTTTCATGCCTAAATGCTCCCTGCCTCAACATTTGCTCATCACAACGAAGCTCCGTGATGGTAGGGACGGAGACCTCTTAGCTGCCCCTTCTTCCTCAACTGTGGAGCCCAGTGATACAGAAGACATGTAGGAATACTTGTTGAAAGAATGAGTGAATGATGAAAATAGGAGGCGAATATATAGTTATGCATTCCAGATTATTTGTCCTTTTGGAAAAGTTTTTTTTCTATTATAAATGACTTATGAACAATGGAGTCTCATCACATACAAATTTAGCTTATGGAAATTCAACTCTATGAACCCAGCCTCGCAAAAAGAAAAGAGGGAGAGAGACTATCTAAAGGGTGCATGATTCTCCCTAGCATTCCACTCAGGAAGCCCTAGGGTGAATGTGCGATGGGACAATGTGTACATCTCTTTCTTCAGTTGGTCCCACTTTCTGGTGGCTGCTGATATCATCAGCTCACTATCCTAAGTGTGAGTCTAAGAGACATGAGGTAGATTTTGCTTATGATTTCCCAGTTGCTTTCCTATTGCTCCATCTGGTGCCCAATCATAGAAATAGCTACTGTTCCAATGGTGGAGGGAGAACCGGTTGGCTTGCGAGAATGGCTCTGAACATTTCCAAACTCACAACTGGACTTTCTGATAGCACAATTTCAGGGATGTTTGGAGTAATATTGCATACATGGCTTTGTTTTATGTTTTAGCTTGACAGTAATTCCATGGAATGTGAAACTGCATTGTTGTATAAAAAACTGAAAAATACAGAAAAGTAGAACGTATATACACTTAAGAGTCATAAACTAAAAAGCCTACCTCTCAGTTGCCAATGCAACGATAGTGTATTTCCTTGTTTAGTCTTTTTCTTTTCTTTTTTTTGGTACTGGGGATCGAACTCAGGACCTTATACTTGCCAGGCAGGCACTGTGCCACTGAGCTAAATCCCCAACCCTTTTAGACTCTTTTATAAGCACAGTATTTTGGAGTTTTAGTTTGCATATTGTGGTACAGCCCTCCCTATCTCCTTAACAGGAAAATTTTAGATGTAGTTAAAAAAATGAAATTCAAGACTCATAAGTCCTAGTATATTTAATGAGTAGTTCATATTTACCTTATAAATCCTTTTACCTTATAATTGAATTACTTCTTATTCACTTTATAGTCTTATTTTTATACAAATTTTGAAACAGACTGCTGCAGAGAATATTACAAAGTAGTTATTAGAAATACTTCACAACTATTAAAGTAGAAATAATTTAAAACTTTGAAATCATTTTAAGAACAATAGAAAGATCTCCTATGTTCCTCAGCCTGATT